CCCGCCGTGCCGCCTGCGGTGGCCGCAGCGGTCCCCGCACCCAGCTTGTGTCCCGTGTGGGACCGGACTGTGGTGGCACAGCTGAGCCCGAGCGAAGCTGTGCTGCCAGAGCCGTGTCCTGCCTGGGCACCCAGAGCCCGGGCAGCCGCGCTGGGCGCTGGCGGTGGCTTTGTGAGCAGCAGACGAACGCGCAGCCATCTCCTGCTGCCTGAAACCGAAAGCCTGGTGATTACTGGCGTGACTTGCTTTAGCTCGGGTTTGTGCCTGTGCTCATTATGCAAATAACGGGCTGTGGCTGCCCTGCTTTTCGGCTCTAGGCCCGTCTCTCCAGCCTTGCGCTTGGCTGGAGGAAGGGCTGGTTTTAGGACAGCGTTGATGATTTCAGTTCAAAACCCTGCGTAACCTTGGGGTGACTTTTAGAGAGGTGACGTCTGGAATTCCTGACCTGAGGAGTCACCTGCCAAAGGCTCGCGGGCACGAGGCGGCTCGGTTGGGGTGGAAAGGGGATGGCTGGGGTGGAAGGGAGAGCTTTGGGCTGGAAAGGGGACGCTGGTAACTCCGTGGTTTCAGACTCGGCAGCCTGTGCCAAATTCCTTCTCTGGCCAGGGCTTTGGTTACGCAGCTCGGCCTCCTGGCTGGTCCTGGGATGTGTCCCGTTCCCGAGCAGCGCGTGGCTCCATCGCCGTGTGCCATCTCCAGGTGGGGCGGCCGGCAGCGCTGGCTGCGAGCTGAAGCCCTGGTCTGCGCGCTGCGCGGAGCTGCACAGCCCTGCTGGTGTTCTCCATCAGGGTAGGCACCTCCGTGGGGTGCTTTCTGGGGTGATCCTCTGCCCCATATGCTTTGATGTGTTTTTGGTAGCAGGCAGGATCACAGAGCGGGGACTTTCAGATGTGGAGTCTGCTGGCCTCTTAATTTAGAGCCAGGGCTGTGATGTTCAGGGCGGGCTGGCGAACAAGTCTGGCAACCTGCTGGTCTGCAGCTCTTCCTCGTCAAATCTGGAGAGGAGTTGGGACCTTTTCCACAGGTGGGTTTGGATCTCTGACTCCTTCCCTCCCCTGTGCCGGGGTTTCCCAAGCTGTGGAGCCGGGGGACCGGTGAGCACCCTGCCGATGGGCGATCAGCCTGGCTCTGAGCCACGCGACCGTGGACGGGTCCTGCCCGTGCTGCGGAAGGCAGCCTGCGTGCGGGGGGCTCTGCTGGGGTCCCCCAGCAGAGAGCTGTATCTGTGTTGTAAACTCTTTTTTTTCTGTGAGGCAAGATAGGTAACACCACTTAGCCGGTAAGGTTAAAAATACCATTCCCTGCCCCCTCGTTGGCTTTGTTTCACCTAAGAAAAATAGTGCTTTTGCTTAAGAAAATAGCTGTGTTTGGAGCTACCAAAATAACTCCCGTGTCAGCCTGGTGGAGTTCGAGGTGGAGCTGGGCTCTTCCCGGCTTTGCTGCCTCCTTTTTGACCAGAGTTACTGACTGGAGACCGAGCCTCCCCTCTTCCGTCAGAAGGGGCTGAATGAGAGAGCTGAGGCTTGGGATTTCTAAGAACAACACAAAAACTCCTTCTGGGGCAGAGACCTTCCCGTTAACACCAAAGAGGGAGAAATGCCGCGTAGTCGGTCCTGTGCAGGGATCCTGCAAGGAGCAGCCTCCCTTGCGGTGGGAAGCCGTCGGCTGAGGAGCAGCTCTGAGAGCGTGGAATCCATGAACGGTTCCTAAGTGCCTTCATTCCTGCCTGGAAGCCGTGAGCTTTTAAAAAAGAGGCAGAGGATCATAATCCGTTCTGCTTTTAGAGGCAGGGACGCTAAAAGGAGGGCGCGGTTGGCCAAGACAAAGGTAGGGAGTTTAAAGGCAAGAAAGGACTGAAAGTTTTTAGTGAGGGGCTGGGAAGGAAGTAACCAAAGGAAGCACGTGGAAAGGTCCGTGGGGATCCACAGACCCAGCTGTGGGCCCAGAGCAGTCAGGTGCTGTGGGTTCGCTCTTTCCTCTCCCCATCGGTAAAAACAAATTCAGGGTTTACGGCAGAGCGGGCCTTGAGCACAAATAAAAGCGAGAAGCCAGGCTGAGCCCTGGGCTCGTCCCTTGTGGCGTCGGCACAGGAGACCGCTCCATTTGCCTGAATCCATGGCGAGAGGAGCGGGTGGTGACGCAAGCCAGCACTTCGGAGATGGGAGTGACAGAGCCGGGCCGCGCACACAGTCCTGCCTCTGCCAGCGTCTCCGGGCTCTGCTCAACCCGGCGGAGGTTTGTCCTCGTGCTGGTGTTTGCTCTTGCGCCCTGTCTGGGAGAGAAGCTCTGCTCGGCAGCTTTGGGCTTTCAGCCTGGTCTGGTTTCGCTCGGGGAGGTGTGGTGGGGGGGGGATTTGTGCCTTACTGGGAGCGCAGTGAGGCTGGGACCTCAGTGTCGCTTGTGAGCCATCCCCCGGCACGGGGAAGAGCAGTGTTGAGCCTGAAGACAGATCCATCCTCACCGCAGCCTTCAGGCGCCGCTCGGCTCGCTGACCCAAAGCCGCTTCGAGGACGGAGCCAGCGCTCTTCCCCTCCGCGCTGCACGGAGGAGGATTTCCCTCGTGTCGCCTCTTCATGGGAACCTTTTCCAGTGCAGCAACCTGCTTCTCTCTGCTTTGCTGTAAATATTTGTATCCTGCTAAACGGTGATTAGAAAAGGCATTTGAAAAACAAATGTCCTTGTGTCACGCTGTTCTCGGCAGAGATCCTGCGCTGAAGAACCAGGTGGCAGCGCTGGAAGAGGAGCGTAGCGTTCGGTAGCTCCCCCCGCTGCGGTATTTGAAAGCCTGGTGCTTTTCCTTCGGGTCCTCTGACCAGCAGCTTCCCTGCGCTGGGGTCACGGCGGAAGCCCTGCATCATGTGGAGCAGCACGTGGTGAAAGCTGGTTTCAGAAGGTGGAGGGAACTGGCCAGAATCTCCCAGAAAGAAGTCCTCTTCCCCAGAGCCGGTGCTGGAAGATGTTTAGCAGCAGGACCGGTGGCCTGCGGGGCACATGCGGGCAGCAAAGGCTGAGTCTGCTGTTTGGGATCTAGATTATCAGCTCTGCTGTGGGGACGGTCTCTTCCCCCGAAGGCAGGCGCGTTCTGTCATCGTCCCAAAGCGGAACAGGACGTTTGGTTAAAAACCCCGCGTGTTTATGGGGAGGTACAGAAGCACAGTCCCACTTGTGCTCTTTGAGACGTTATTGCTGTGTGTTTCGACGGTGCTAAGACCCCCTTCCTGTGGCTCACAGGATGTGCGCGGCGTGGCTGGGGGGGCCTGGGCCGTGGCGTCCCCGGGGTGGCTGCTCTGCTCTGCTCTCCCGGCAGCATCACCGGCTAGAACGCGGCTCTGCTGTGCGCCTCGGTGGATTTCCTCCGAGGGTGCCCTTTGCTTGTCTCCCTGTGGCTCGTTCCGATGTTGAATCCTTGGTGCTTTTGCAGGCTGGAACGATAACTCCGCCCCTGCAGAGCTGCCCTTTCTGTGCCGTCCTCCCCTTCGGCCCGAGCGGAGGGTGAAGCGCCAGTACGCGGTTGCCCTGTTCACTTCTTCCCCTGCGATGCCGCAGCGGGATCTGTGGGGCGGCCGCGGGGGCTGCTTGGCCGTGGCGGAACAGAGTTCTGGGCTCCCCAGTTCAAGAAAGATGAGGAGCTACTGGAGAGAGTCCAGCGCAGGGCTACGAGGATGAGGAGGGGACTGGAGCATCTCCCCTACGAGGAGAGGTTGAGGGAACTGGGCTTGTTCAGCCTGGAGAAGAGAAGGCTGCGAGGGGACCTTATAAATGCCTACAAATATCTGCAGGGTGGGTGTCAGGAGGATGGGGCCAAGCTCTTTTCAGTGGTGCCCAGTGACAGGACAAGGGGCAATGGGCACAAACTGAGGCACAGGAAGTTCCGTCTGAACATGAGGAAGAACTTCTTCCCTCTGAGGGTGACGGAGCACTGGAACAGGCTGCCCAGGGAGGTTGTGGAGTCTCCTTCTCTGGAGATATTCAAGACCCACCTGGACAACGTCCTGTGCAGCCTGCTGTAGGTGACCCTGCTTCGGCAGGAGGGTTGGACTAGATGACCCACAGAGGGCCCTGCCAACCCCTACTATTCTGTGATTCTGTGATTCTGTGAAGCGATGCCGGTAGGAAGTTGCCCATTTGTGTTTTTAAAGGCAGCGTCGCCCTGGAGCAGCTGGTTCCTTGGTGGCCCGCAGGCCCCGCGCTGCACCCGGCGGAGATCCCCTTGGGGTGACCTACGGTGAGAGCCAGACGTAAAGCTGGACTAAGCCTCCTTGCTAAGCTGTCTGACGGGAAAACCAGCAGAGCCTTTGCAGCCCTGCTGAGCCCGAGAAGAGCTGAGCCGGGCGCAGAAGGGCATCTGCCGGGCACAAAACAGAGAGCAAGCCAGGTGTGAGAGCAGGGCTGGGACAGCTTCTGAGCTCCGCTTGGCCTCCAGCGCTGCTCTGTCGCCAGGTGCTGGTGCTGGAGGGGGCGAGGGCTGGTCGAGAGGCTGCCAGCCGCACAAGCTGGTTTTTGCTTCGGATTCAAGCAGAGCTGTGATCGCTGCTGCTCGCCTCCGAGGAGAGCCAGGCCGGGTGGGAGCTTGTCTGGCCCTCCATTGCCCTCCATCCACACCACAGGGTCTCCGAGGTGGAGATGGCCGTCGAGGCGCAGAGGAGCTCTCCCAAGGGTGCAGCCCGTCCCTGGGCGGCACCAGCGTGCGAGGGATGCTGTCCCGGCCTGCGCCGCGGTGCCCTCTCGCAGGGACGCTGCGCGCTGCCAGCTGCAGCCATCAGCAGAAGCTTCCTGCGGCCGGGGGAAGCCGGAGCATCACGTCGAGGCGAGATGGGGGCCTGAATGCTGGAGCGGGGACGTGTCTGCGAAGAGACGCCGCTCCTGCAAGGGCAGAGCTGCTCTGCCTGCACCCCTGACTGGGCAGCAGAGCTGGAGACCAGCTTTGTTAGTCCTGTTGCCTGTTTGGCCAACACCAAGAACCCGTCCATCCCTCTGTCCATCCATCTGTCCATCCTAATCCTCACAAATAAGTGGACAGGACTGAGGAGATAATTAAATCTTTATTAAAGAAATGTGTGTCACAGCAACGTGTTTGCAGCGCGGAGGGGTCTGGCAGCGGGGACTCTGGACCGCTCCCCCCTGCAGCGACCGGTAGGACGAGGGGACGGGTGCTGTGACCTGGAGATGTGACAGCTGAAGGCCGGGAGGGTGCTCTGGCTAATCTGTTGAGACAGACGCTGCGGGTTTTCTGCTCGTCAGTGGCTGGGCAGCTTTCAGAGCCGTGACTTGTTTCTGGCACAAACCATGGCAAGGTCGAGGGCTTCCAGCGCGGGGCTGTGGGGGCTGTCGGTCCCCCGGCTGG